AAGTAACATTTCCCCCCAGCATGACTTAAAAAAAAATTCTAATAAATACTATTTGTTCTCTAATTTGTTTCTAATAGGCCTATGACATAGGCTGGGCAGATACCTTTTATGGATGAATTCCAGGATATTGAGAAGTTAAATCATTACCTAAGGCCACTCAGCAGGTTCGTGGCAGTCAGGACTAGAACGCTGTTCTTCCCCATTAGAGCTTCTAATCTGGGTGTTTACACCGACTCTCAAGTCTTTGGTCTCAGGACGTCTTTAAACTTTACTATTTATTAAGGACCCCAAAGTGGATTATACCTATCAAGGTTTATTGTATTAGAAATTAAAACTGTGAACATTTAAGAATATTTATTAATTCAGTTAACAAATAGTAAATCCATTACATGTTAACATAAATAACATTTTAGGAGACTGTAACTACTTCCCAAAACAAAAAAAATTTGGTGAGAAGGGTGGCGTTGATTTACATTTTTGCTAATCTTTAATGTCTGGCCTAACAGAAGACAAATGGGTTCTTATACATGCTTTGTGCATGTATACAATTCTGCTGTGATGTTGTTCTGGTTGCATACAGAAGATCTAGCCTTACAAAGATGTGTAATTGTAAAATAAGGAATATATTTTTTTAAGATTTTATTTATTTGACAAAGAGAGAAAAAGAGAGCGAGTATGCACACACAAGCAGGGGGATCGGCAGGCAGAGGGAGAGGGAGAAGCAGGCTCCTTGCTGTGGGGCTCGATCCCAGGACCCTGGGACACATGACCTGAGCCGAAGGCAGACGCTTAACCGACTGAGCCACCCAAGCACCCAAAAGGAATATTTTTTTTTTTAAAGATTTTATTTATTTGACAGAGACACAGTGAGAGAGGAAACACAAGCAGGGGGAGTGGGAGAGGGAGAAGCAGGCTTCCCACTGAGCAAGGAGCCCGATGTCGGGCTCGATCCCAAGACCCTGGGATCATGACCTGAGCCGAAGGCAGCTGCTTAACAACTGAGCCACCCAGGTGCCCCAAGAAGGAATATTTTAATAAACTTTTCAGCTAACTGTAGATATTCTTCTTAAACTACACCAAAATCCAACAAACGGTAGTTTCTTAAAGATTGGTTGCAGTGTGGAATCTGAAACTTCAATGAACTTTTCACACTGTTACATTAAAATCCATTACTTATATACGGTACCCAGAATTCACAGAGACAGAAAGAACAGTGGTTACCTGGGGACTGGAGGGAGAGTGGGGGGGGTAGTTACTGCTTAATGGGTGCAAAATGTCAGTTTGTTATGATAAAAAAAAAGTTCTGGGGATGAATAGTGATGATGGTTGTACACAATGTGAACCTACTTAATGCCACCAAACTAGACTTAAAAATGGTTTAAAAAGGGGTGACTGGGTGGCTCAGTTAGTTAAGCGTCTGCCTCTCCCTCTCTGCCCACCCCCTCCCCCCAGTGCTCTCTCACACACGCTGCTCTCTCAAATAAATAAATAAAATCTTTAGAAAATGGTTAAAATGGCAGATTTCATGTTACATATATTTTACCATAATTTTAAAAATATCGATTACTCCATCTTGTACTTTGAATGAATCTTTTATGCATGCATGATTTTATAATATTATACATTGGTCATGTGGAAAATATTGGTTCATTGATAAATTATACAGATCTTCCAAATATTTACGCACTTCATTATATCAGAAAACACATTTGTTAATATCAACACAGAGCTCACCAGGAAAGTCTTTAACTACTACACTGGGAAGCTGTCTAGATCATGGGGAAAGATACAAGTTCCCTAAAATCCTAACTTTCACTTGAATGCTTGAATTTTATCACTGGCAACAAATATTGTCAGATGTTTTCCTTGAGGTGACAAAGCTCACTTCATTTTCCTCAAGATGTCTGCCAAATACCTAAATCTTTAAAACAACAGTTTGTCTTTCAAATAAAAAAGGTGTCCTGTGAAAAAAGTAGCTAGTTAGCTTAAATTCATGCAATGGCACAAGCGTTTTTCCTACTTTGGAATGCAGCAGAAGTGCTTTATGTATACTTCCCATTTCATCACACAGAATACTAAAAAACTGTACTCAAAATGAGTAATTTTTGAGAAATAAAATGAGTAATTTTTACTGTTTTATCAAGGACATTCCTAAGTAAAATTGATTTTTTTTTTTTTAACTGCGAGTGTGTGAAAGTAAAGAACATGATGGCTATTAGAATACTGTAGGGCCACTGTCATGTTTCATGCTAAGACACCAGCAGTTCTACTCACCAGTTTTGCATCTTCATAGCAAATGTGGTCACAAAGGCAAATAATGTTTTGGTATAATCATAAAAATAATTTTGACCGTAAAAACCTCTTGAAAGAGTCCTGTCCCCATGATACTGAGTTTTCTGTTAATATAAATCACACATCAAGGAATGTGTTTCAACAAATTAAAGTGGATATTAACTCTCCAGTATAATTTCACTTTTTTTTTTTTAAGATTTTATTTGTTTATTCATGAGAGACAGAGAGAGAAATGCAGAGGCAGAGGGAGAAGCAGGCTCGATGTGGGACTCAATCCCAGAACCCTGGGATCATGACCTGAGCCGAAGGCAGATGCTTAACCGACTGAGCCATCCAGGCGTCCCTAATTTCACTTTCTTTTAAAATAGTATAGAAATTTTCAAACACACATTATAGAGAATAGTATCATATACCACCACGTTATCTACTACCCAGCTTCAATAACCATTAGCATCTGTTATTTTTACTTTATCTAAACCCCACCTTTTTTTTTTTCCTGGAGTATTTTAGAGTAAATCCAGACATTATATCAATTTGTCCCTAAATATTTCAGTCTGATTCTCTAATTCACAAGGTTTAAAAAAAGCCAAAACACAATACCTTTATTACAACCAACAAAACAAACAGCAACCCTTTCATATTATCTAATACCCAAGCCATGTTTAATTTTCCCCAACTGCCTCAAGAATACTTTTTTATGGTTAACTTGTTTGAATTAGATTCTAAATGAAGCCCATTCACTGTATTTGTCTCTTGTCTAATCCACAAGTTTCCTTTCCTTAAAAAAAAAACAAAAAAAGTCATTTATTTGTTGAGAGAATTGAATCTTTTGTCATAAAGAACTTTTCATATTCTAGATTTCATTAACAGTATATTCAGTGTGTCATTTAATACATTCCTCCATCTCCCATATTTCTGGTAAACTGGTAGGTCAGAAGTCCCGATTAGATTCAGGTTCAATTTTTCTTGGCAAGAATACTTCATAGGTGGTGCTGTGTACTTCTTATTGCATCACATCAGGAGAAACATGATGTCTGGTTGCCCTACTTTTAGTGATGTTAAGATTGATGACTGGGTTTAAGTGAGGCCAGCCTGATCTTTCACAAATTCCCCATTAATTTTTCACTAAATAGTATGAAAAACTATTGATAATCACTGCTTTGTGATTTTACATTGTCTCTTTAACCTCTGAAATTAGTTGTGTGTAGACAAGACTAGCTTAATGGATTTAGGAGCCCAAAGAATGAACCTAAAAAGGCGACACCTCAACACAAGGAAGACCCCTCTCCTTTGGAATCCAATTTCACATACAATTATTGAATTATTTGTTCAGTTCCAGACACATAGTCTCAGCCTCTCAGGGTAAATAAACCAGGTGAATAATTAAAAGTCACCAAGAAATGCAATAGTAGAGATATATATGAAGTGCCAAGGGAACCCGGATGAAATGGTAAATAATTCTGTTTATAGAACTTACAAAGACTGACATCTGAACTGAAATCCTGGAGACTGGGCTAGTAATCTCCAACGTCATTCCAATCCACTCCACTCTCCCTCTGTATTTGGTTCTACCCTGGAAACTAGCAGGGCTCTTTTCTCCTTCAGGATTTCCATACTCTACCTGAACCTATCTTCCTCACACTCTTTCCCTGGCTAACTCCCATTCACCTTCGGTCAGTTAGTATATCACTTCTTCAGGGAGGTTTTTTCAGACTCTCTAGTTCTTATTTGTCTCGGAGAATTATTATTATTTCTTTATATCATTTATCACAATTTATAATTACATCTTCAAGAGTGGGATTATTTGTCCTAAGTCTGTTTCCTTCAGTAGGAGGTAAGCTCCATGAGGGCAGGCTATATAGTTCACCATGGCATACTCACTGCTTCCTACGGTGCTAGGCACATAGTAAACACTCAATAAATATTTACTGAATGAAAGAAGGAGTAGCAGTAGCTGGCATACTCCCCTAAGCACCCAGCTGGCCTAGTTTCTGCCATCACTTTGCTATCCCAGAATGACGCAGGCTCCAATTCAGCCCAGCGCCCAGAGCAACCTTTCAGGGAAGCAGTGGCATCCACCCTTGGGAGTGGGGTTAGGGGCTTTCTCCTTAAAGGAATTATATTTACCTTGGGGGTTTTGAGCACAAACTTCTGTTTCCCTTCATCAGGGCCCAGCTGCGCCTTCAGTTTCAGTAGTTTTGCCACCTCCTTCTCGATCTGTGGAGGTAAAGTAGGTGCTGGGCTATCACGTCTGCCACTCCCTTCCCTCCTCAGTCATTCATTCAGTATCCCTCCCTCATCAGAATCTGGGGCCGATCTCTCTCCTCAGGCCCAGCTTTGCTTCTCTCGGGTCCTACCCCGGCCACCTCCCCACCCAGGCTCTGCTTCTCCCTACCGGCCCGGTCCCTTTCCCCACATCTTTCCTCTATGCAGACCACTCAGCTCTATGTCCTCCCTGGCTCTACATTGGCCTGTCCCCTGCCACCTGGGTCGCACCTCCTCAGCGCTGGCCTTCTGCTGCTTGAGGACCCGCACGCGCTCTCCCTGAAGTCGCACTAGCTCCTCTAGTGCCGCACGTTCAGCCATACTGAGGCCAACCGGCGATGAGCGCTGCCTCGGTGCCGCAGCCTCAGCTCGGACAACTTCCGGCTATCGAGTCACTGGTCCGCATGCCTAGAGAGCCTCCGCCGAGCACAACAACCACTTCCGGCTACTACCGGAAGTGCTGAAGCTGAAACGGAGCCTGAGTGGTCGGGAGCCATCCTTCAGGCTTTGGAAGGTGCGGAAGTGATCGCATTTTCGCTGGTGCTACGGCTACCCTCTACAGCGCTCTGCACCCTTACTGGGGTGGGGTCCGACCTGCCTCGTTCTCAGGTCCTTTGGCTCCTGTCTCGGAAAGGCGGCCTCCTGTTAAGCGATGCCCCCGTTCGGACTCCTGCCCATGAGGGCCTGGGCTTCGCTGTTCAGCCAGGTCCTGCGGCCGTCCGGTCTTGTGTGCGTCAGGGAGGTCCATTTTCAGAGCCAGGTGAGCCAGACTGAGTGGTCTGTTGGGGCAGGATATCCAGGTCTGAAAGCATGGACTCGCGGCCTGCAGTCCAGGAGTACAGTCGGGTTTTTTTGAGTAGTTTAACGGTACTGAGCTAAGCATTTTAGATGCTTTGTCATTTAATCTTCATAGCAATCTTGAGAGATTGGGATTATTTCCATTTTACAGTTGAGGAAAGAGCTGCAAGGTTAAATGACTTATCAACGGATACATAGTAAGGGAGTCTTTTTAATAGAGGTCCACAATCACTTAATGTGAACCTCTTGGGGTCAAACACATTCCTAAGCAAAGTATATGAATATCCCCATTAAGTGAGATGACTGAAGACCACAGGTAGACTGAGTTCACATTAGAGTTACCTCAAAATGAGCTCCCCCTCCCTGAAAATAAACCCCAAAACAAACCACTTTTCGGTTTTTAGAGATTTTTGGATTTTGAGGAATTGCAGAGGAAGGACTGTGGACTTGAACTGCCATCCTTTGGAGGAGAGAATCCGCCAAAATATGGAACTACCACACCCTCTATATTTCTGGAAGGGCATTCAGCCTGCTGCTAATAAACAAAATTACCAATTCATTTTTACTTTGGTATAGACCCTAGCAGATGCTTTGTGCTATCAGGAACAGCAGGGTTCAGATCTTTTGTTACTAATTTTCAGTACAGCATCCTACCAGTCTGATTTTTTAGTTCAATTTGGATATCCATTCCTGGTCATTTCACTAGCATGTTGTGTGTTTTGGGCTTGTTCTCTTATGTCTTTAGGTTACTTTTTCCATGTCTCTAAGCCTAATGACCATTGCTTCCTTATTAAAAATTCATGTTCATGTTTTTGCTCTTTGAGTAGGAACTAAGAATTGGAGATCATACTAATTCCTACTCCTAGATGGTTGGTGGAAGTAGTGGTGGATTGTTCTGTGCCTTCATTGTTCTCCGGTGCTTAAGCTTTTCCAGACATTTAAAAACTCCAAATATGATAAAAACCTGATCTCATGTGTATTAAGTACATAGTGCAAATATGATGTATGTTTTGGAGGGAGGCCGAGATTGAAATAGATAAAACAGTGTTCAGTTTGTCTTGCTCAGGGCCAGATGTCTTTGCAGGTCGGGCCGTAGGGCCAGAGATGTCCCAGGTCTGACCAGTCTTGTGGCTCACATCTCACATTCCTTTTTCTGCCAGGTTTCAGAGGCAGTGTTAACATCCCAACTGAAACCACATCAAGAGAAATCAAATTTTATTATCAAGACACCAAAGGTAATGCCCTTTACCCCACCCTGTCCTATTAGAGTGCCTTGGAGACTGCCCTCTGCTCTGCCTTCTGCTCTGCTTGTCTCTTCCTAATCCCTTTTAATGTCTTTTAAGACTAATAAAAAAAAAAAATTTCACTATTCTTGAGATACTGATAGGCCTCAGTCAACTGAACTCAAAGAGATTTCAACTTCCGACTTTCGATTATAGGTGTTACCTCTTTGTCTTAAATGGACTTGTTTTTTGTCTGTGTTTTCCCCATGGCTGCTTTTGGTTTCTAGGGCACCAGAGATCTTAGTCCCCAGCAGATGGTTGTGAGGGAGAAAATTCTTGATATGGTTGTTGGCTGCTTTAAACGTCATGGAGCAAAGAGATTAGATACTCCAGCATTTGAGCTTAAGGTAAGAGGAGAAAAGAGAGTGCTGGAACTCCCATTTCTTCATCTGCCTTCAGTTTCCCCAAGAGCTTTTAGCCTGTGTTCTGGAGTCCTCCTTTGAACTGTGGTGGTTTTTGTTTGATCCCTGCAGGAAATGCTCACTGAGAAGTATGGAGAAGACTCTGGGCTAATCTATGATCTGAAGGATCAAGGTGGAGAGCTATTGTCCCTGCGCTATGACCTTACTGTATCTTTCTGAGTGTTAGAGACTGACATCTCTTTCCAAATGCAGAGGGCTTTTTTTGACAAAAGGGAACAACAGTGCCTCTGGGATCCCCTAGGTCTGTTTGCAGCAGCCTTTACTTCCAGTTCCTCCCAGAAGGCAATTCTGCCAGCAGAGCCTGGCCTGGAGCACTGTCATTTAACTTTATTGTATATCAGAAATACGGATTTCTGGTCCTTAGCCCCAGATATTAATTCTGTACCTGGAGTGGGGTTCAGCAATCTGCATTTTAAACAGGCACCTGGGGTCATGAAGAGGTTCTCAACCTATACTTTAAGAAACATTGACATAAAAAAAAAAAAAGAAGAAGAAAAGAAGTGAAAAGAAACATTGACATAGAAGTTGCAGGCAAATCCAGGTTCTGAAACTTGACTATTTTGAAATGGCTGAGAATTGATCTGAATAGGAAGGAATAGCCCATACTTGGAGTTCTTGGGTCATTTCTATCTCATTCAGTGGGCAGCAGGCCGGCTTCTCCTGCTTTTTTACTGAACTTGCACTTTTCCTTGGTGGGATTCCTTCATTCCTTTGTATATATTAAATGTCAAGCACTGCGAGGCATTGGGGACAGTGGGAAACAAGACAGAGAACGTCCTTGTTTTCATCTTAGTGGATGAGATCCAATTGGTAATGGCCCAGTTCTCCCAAATTTCTTTACACTGGGCCTAAGTTTTGGAGGCAGTATGCTTTCTCCTTAACCTGTTTATGTGAGGTCCCTTTTGCTCGTTATCTGGCCATGTATAAAGTGAAGAAGATGAAACGCTACCAAGTTGGAAAGGTGTGGCGGCGAGAGAGCCCAACCATAGTCCAAGGCCGCTACAGGGAGTTCTGCCAGTGTGTAAGTGACCAGATGTGGGCAGCATGGTTTGATCGTTTGGGGAGCTACAACCTGGGAACTGGCTGCTCAGTGAAGATTTTTTTTCCCCCCTTTTTCTTTGCTGCAGGATTTTGACATTGCTGGTCAGTTTGACCCTATGATCCCTGATGCAGAGTGTTTGAAGATCATGTGTGAAATCCTAAGTGGGTTGCAGCTCGGGGACTTTCTCATTAAGGTGAGACCAGGACTGAGGACTGAGGGGAGAAGTCTGGATTTGGCCTGATGCTCTCCTAAAACATAGGTGACCCCAGCCTTTAAGCCTGTAGACCTGGGACTTTCTCAGTACAGCTGTTGTATTTCATCTATATATAGTCATGCTATGAAATTTTTTTTCTGTCCTTTTTATGAAATAGGCTAATAGGGACTGCCATTATTTTGAGGGAAAAAGCATTGACAAGGCACTTGGGTTATTTCCACTGAGTTCACAGGTCAATGATCGGCGGATTTTGGATGGGATGTTGGCTGTCTGTGGTGTTCCTGAAAGCAAGTTCCATGCCATCTGCTCCTCAATAGACAAACTAGGCAAGGTAACTAAAAAGACATGCTTCAGTAGACCATATCAGAGTCTCTGCCTTGCCCTCAAATCTGTACCCCTAGAGAAAAAAAGGAGACGGTGACTAGAAGTGAGCTTTGTCTGGGGAAGGTAAGGAGATAGTCCAAAGCAAGACCTGAGCTTTGTTGTGCAGTGGGTTGACTATGGCTGCATTTCCTAACCTGCCTCTGCCTTTGTTGAGTATAGTGTTAGGTACTCATGACATTTCCAGTTAGATGAAGAAGGATCTTGGAACTGGGCTAATGTTTGGGTGTTTGCACAGATATCTTGGAATGATGTGAGACATGAGATGGTGGCAAAGAAAGGCCTGGCTCCTGAAGTGGCTGATAGAATTGGTGACTATGTCCAATGTCATGGTAAGGACTAGTGTTTTCAGAGCTCTGTGATAGAACTGGAGTGAGGGGGATGTGTGTACAACTTCTACCTCTGAAACAGCTCCTTTCCAAAGATAAGCTAAGTGCCAGAACCTGGCCTGAATTTGATTTTCCTTTTACTTAGTGTAATAACCACTTTATGTCTTCAGATGGCAAAGGCAGAGGAGGAGAGTCTGGTCATAAGAGATCAGGATGGTTTTTTTTGGTTTGGTTTTTTTTTTTAACTAACAAAATCTGGAGGAGGGGCACCTGGGTGGCTCAGTCGTTAAGTGTCTGCCTTCGGCTCAGGTCAGGTAATGATTCCAGGGTCCTAGGATCGAGCCCCACATCGGGCTCCCTGCTCAGTGGGAAGCCTGCTTCTCCCTCTCCCACTCCCCCTGCTTGTGTTTCTGCTCTCACTATCTCTCTCTCTGTCAAATAAATAAAAAATCTTAAAAAAAAAAAATGAAGAGGATTAGCTGGAGCATATTAAGAATAAATTTGGGTAAAACACATCTGGGTGAAAGCACAGACTTATTTCTCCCCATATGTCTCCCCAGGTGGGGTGTCCTTGGTAGAGGAAATGTTCCAGGATTCTAGACTATCCCAGAACAAGCAGGCCCTAGAGGGCTTGGGGGACTTGAAGCTGCTATTTGAATACCTGACTTTATTTGGAATTGCTGAGAAGGTAAGCTAAGTTGGGAGTGTGGACTTCCTGCTGAATTTTGGGGTTTTCAGTGTCCTGAGTCTTTTTTGGGACTTAATATACTTGTTCCCACAGATCTCTTTTGACCTAAGCCTAGCTCGGGGACTGGACTACTATACTGGAGTGATCTATGAAGCAGTGCTACTACAGACCCCAGCTCAGGCAGAGGAGTCCTTCAATGTGGGCAGTGTGGCTGCTGGTGGACGCTATGATGGGTTGGTGGGCATGTTTGGCCCCAGGGGCCACAAGGTGCCATGTGTGGGGCTCAGTATTGGGGTGGAGCGAATCTTCGCCATTGTGGAACAGAGGATGAAGGTAGGTCCTAGGTAGGAGTGGAGTGGGGCTGGAGACTAAAAACTCATGTTTGTGGATACGCAGTTGGACTGTTTTCCTGATGATTCTTTTTGTCTTTTTTTTTTTTTTAATTACTGATGCACAGGAAGTTTTTTATTAGTTTTACTTTCTTTTCTCTCTTTAATCAGACTTCTGGTCAGAAGATACGGACCACAGAGACCCAAGTGTTTGTGGCCACACCACAGAAGAACTTTCTTCATGAACGGTTGAAGTTAATTTCAGAGCTTTGGGATGCTGGGATCAAGGTATGGTAGAACTGATATCCAAGTCGTCAAGGTATGTTTGGCCATTCAGGTGGCCATTTCTACCCAATGCCTAAGGTGGAACTCAAGACCTTTCTAGTCTTCACTAAAGTGTCTTCTGGTAGGAAGGCTAGCCCCTTATTTCTTTGGAAATGCTTGAGGAGTGTGGTCACTTCTAAGCCCCTTATTCTGTCTTCATCCTTTTCAGGCAGAGCTGCTGTATAAGAACAACCCTAAACTACTAACTCAACTGCACTACTGTGAGCAAATGGGCATTCCACTGGTGGTCATTATTGGTGAGCAAGAACTGAAAGAAGGGGTAATCAAACTTCGTTCAGTGGCCAGCAGGGAGGAGGTGAGTGGGGGAAATAGAAGGCACCATGTGTTTCTACCTTTCTTAGATTCTTTAAGAAATATGTATCTTATGGCTAAGGAAATGTCTCCAGGGTTAATAGTGGTAGAGATGAATGAAGACCCACGCAGGCAACCTGTTAGCCAGTGAATATTAGGTAGGTGGGCAGAAGGACAGATGAAATCTTAATGGGTATTTTGAGACCAGTCCAACAAAATAGACACGGATCAGGTGTTTGAAAATCCCTCTCTCTCTGTGTCTCTCTTTTTAAAGATTTTATTTTTTAAGTAATCTCTCCCACCCTGCTTGGGGCTTGAACTCACAATGCCTAGGTCAAGAGTCAACGTGCTCTACCACCTGAGCCAGGCAGGTGCCCCAGGTGTTTGAATCTCTAGTCTTGAGGACATAACATTCTCTAGTTCAGCTTGAAGCCCACATTTCTTCCTGCTGATTATATAAGTAGTGGGAGCAGATGCAGGGTAAAATGAATCTGGAAAAGCAATGACTAAGAAGCTAGTATCAAAAAAAAAGAAGCTAGTATCACTCTCTAGTTTGTCACACGAGGGTTCTCTTATGTTACAGGTGGCCATTAAACGAGAAAATCTCGTGGCTGAAATTCAGAAGACACTATCTGAGTCTTGATTCTTGCCTGCTTACCATCTGCTGCTCTTTCTAGAGGATGTTTCTTCTAGGACTGAGTTCCCGACGGAATTCACAACTGCTGGCCAGGATGGGTGACAAGTTCCTCGGCCTCCTCCATCCTTTCTGGGTACAGAACTGTAGGAGGCCCTGAGGACTCCTGGGCTAGTGTGAGCAGCTATTCTGCGTGGATGCAGATGGCTGGTATGTGAAAGAGACATGCTCTAACTGCAGAGACAGATGGCAGATTTGAAGTGCCATTGAATGCTGCCAAGAGGTGCGGAGATGGTTGCTTTGAGCAAGGCTCTAGGAAAGTTGCCTCAGGCTGAGACCACTGAGATCAGACAGATACTTGACCTTCCACTATGGCTTCTGAACCAGATTTTGGGAAATTTGTCCACAGCCTGCCCTTAGCTTGTCCAGGGAGTTTTGGGAGACAGCAAGGAAGGGGCAAATGGCTGCTTTCTCCTTTGTTTGAGGACAAATATGCTATCCTAAGGGCATAGCAGTGCTCATTTTGATGTGGCATCTCTCTAGTCCGTTCACTGTTAATAGAGTGAGGCTGTCTGTTTAGTAATCTTGAATGTTGAATTTAATAGGTGACTGATAAAATGGTATAATCTTTTGAGATTTTGGAGACCATTTCTTGTGCCAGAATTACTGCTTGACTATGTTCCATGTTCTCCTAGGGAGGTGGCTGTTCTAGAAGTGATTGGATAATATATTAAATAAAATATTTAATATAGTTTGGGTGATTTGTTATCCGGAGATTGGTTTGCATAGGCCGTAGAAAACGCTGGAGAGTACACCGGAGAATTCTGAGAGCTAGGAGCAACCTCCCAAGGGTGGTGCTTCTGTATTCAGTGAAGGGAGCAGTCACAGTTCCCCAGTGCTCCCCACTCCCCTCCCCCCCCAACTTGGAGACACAGTCATGTCTAAATTTACATATAGTGAGCCATCTGCCAGAGTTCTATACCCTACGGTGTTGCTGATGACTGGCCTTTCCAAGTCCAATCATGTTGATTAAATTGTGCCCTATAGATTGAATGACTATAAAGTTCTTCACTGAAGGAAAGATGAGTTAACTGAAGGGTGATAACATTGCTTCAAAAATAAAGAGACTGTGCAAAAAAACAAACAAACAAACAAAAAGGCTTTCTACCTATGCTCTGGGAAGGCTGCAACTTTTAAAAACACTGGTGTCGGGGCCATATCTTCAGTGCATACAGGTAATGGGGCAGCTAGAGGCTTGTGATAACCAATTCAGCCTTAAAGAAAATTTAGAAATTCTTGGCAAACGCACGCAAAATTGATTAGGCTAGATCAGAGGGCACTGATTTGAACCGTTTCCTTGTTTGTAAAATAGACGAGTTGAACTAAATCAGCCCTTCGATGCTTGTTTAGGAAGCCAAGGCAAAAACCATTTGTAGGTGCCCTTACTTCCGTGTTGCTTCACCGTATCCATGCGCATGCGCCATTTCCTCGGGGCAGAGGAGGGGCCGACAAGCGTATTTTAGAAGCTCTCCAGTCCTTAGCTCGTTTAGAACGCGAGACGCTAAGCTTATTGGAGGGGAAGCTTGCTTTACGGCTCAAGGCCGCTTTTTACGTCATTTTCCGGCTTCCCATTCACTTCGCAGTGATCGCAGTGAAGATGGCGTCGGGCAGCGGGGTAGGTGTTGTGTGTGAGGAGGCTTTGGTCGGGGGGCAGGGGGTGGCTTCTCAGCGCGGAATATCCTGCACCCGATTGGCTTCTCAACACCTCCTTGCGGTCCAGTTGCCTGGGTTCAAGAGCTTCCCTGTGGGGTCCTGGCGCAGGGTCTGTGGAATCCCGGAGGTCTTTCGGGTTGGGGTCCTGAGGCCACCTCAGCCTCCTGGTGCGGTCCGGAGAGTCTTCGCTCTCTACAGGTCCGGGGGTCGCCTTGCCAGCGTGGACGCGGTTCCTTTCGTTCCTCTAGGGGTTGGATATGATTAGCAACGAATCCTGAGCGCTTTTCTTCCTACAGACAAAAAATTTGGACTTTCGCCGAAAGTGGGACAAAGATGAATATGAGAAGCTCGCCGAGAAGAGGCTCACGGAAGAGAGAGAAAAGAAGGATGGTGGGTGCCTACTCCAACAAGGGCTATGGGTATCGTAGAGGCGAAGCCATAGCTGGAGAGCGGGTGGGGAGTTGAAATGCGATGTCCTCGTACCCTATGTATCCTTTGGCAGCGTGTTGCCTCCCTGGTTCTCGATTTCGTAGTGTATAAAAATGAGAGCGAGGAAATGGACTGAAGCGGTTTTGAGGTGTTTTCCAGCTCCGTTTCCAATGCTTTCTTGCCGACCTTTTGCTTAGCTCATTTCCTATTTTCCTCAAGTACAGAGAAGAGAGTAGAATCCTGGGTATAGAAAAGGACTGTTTTGCTGCTGTGCATTACTGCTATTGAAGATAACTCTTTCCCTTAAAGTCACTTAAGGGGAAGAACATAATTGGCCCAATCAAGACCTTGCCCTATAGTCTGAGAAGAGCAAGGGTACTCACCAAGGAATGTGTGATTGTTTAAGCTGGTGGTTAGTAGTACTGTTCTCTATGTTTTGTATAGTGTCAGGGAGTTGGTTCTCCTTTCCTAGATAGAGATTCCAATATACAAAAAGAAATCTTACTTTTTCATCTGTTTTCAAACATATGCATTCTTCTTTCACTTTACTTTCACACCACCTTGCACACACTAATCCTTTTCGTTTTGATGTAATTTGTACAGTAGTGCCAAGTATGTAACAGATATTTCCTGAATGTTGGTCCCCTATTAAAAATTTTCCCCAGCCCTCTGAAGATTGCTTTTGTTTATGTTTGGGGTATCTGTGCGAAAGTATTACTGAATATCTTTGCTTTTTTTTAATTTTTTAAATCTTTTTTTAAAAAGATTTTATTTGAGAGAGAGAGCATGAGCGGGGTGAGGGGCAGAGGGAGAAGCAGACTACCTGCAAGCAGGGAGCCTGATGCGGGAGTTGATCCCAGGACCCTAGATCATGACCTGAGCTGAAGGCAGACGCTTAACCAACTGAACCACCCAGGCGCCCCTCCTTGCTTTTCTTTTAAAAGTTTGCTTTTTGTGAAAATTAGGAACTCCCTTCAATTCAGCTAATCAATAAATAAAAACTTTGCTTTTAGACTTGTTGGTTTTAAAGTGATAAAAGCTCTAGAGAGTTTAGGGATTGCTTATCATTTTTCCTGTGTTGAGGTTCTCCCCTAGCTGCTGCTAGAAGTGCTCATTGTGTTCCTTGGTTCAGGCTCAAGAAAGAAATGAGAGTAGACATCTGTATTTCGGGTTTCATGCACTTTTTTTTCCCCCTTTCTCCTTAAGAAACTGTAATATTAAAGGGACTTTTTTCTCTATTATATTTTAGGAAAACCAGTGCAGCCAGTCAAACGGGAGCTTCTCCGGCATAGAGACTATAAGGTGGACCTGGAATCCAAGCTTGGGAAGACAATTGTCATTACCAAGACCACGCCACAATCTGAGATGGGAGGGTGAGTGACTTTTCGTCTTTCTCGGGAGCAAGAAATAAACTGTCTATGTTGGTTTTAGCAAGTGTTGAGGAGGTTCTCTGGCCCCAGGAGAACAACCATGTTACCTGTAATTCTACCTTTATATTTTTCTCTCCTCCCCGCCCCAAGGCTGCAACTAAACATAGTAGTGTCTCTACACTCTGTAGGCCTCTTCATATTAGTGTTGTCACTACTTCTTAATATCTTGGAAGAGGAAGAAATGAATGAAAGGACTACTAAGGACATTTTTAGGGGAGAGATTAGGTGGAGCTAGAATGGAGCCTAGGAGCTGTTGATGGTGAATAAAGGGAGTTGAGGTTCCAGACTGGTTGCAAAGTATGTTGTAGTTGTTATGGATTGCTTGATCGAACACCTTCCTCCTAGACCAAGACTATAACCCATGGGAAGAAGTGTCTTGCAAGAGCTCTCGTCTATATTGCCCCCCACTACTTCTTTGTTCACTTATGTCTTACAGCAGGAGGGCAAAAACAGCAGTGAGTGACATGTCTCTGGGTTGCTTAGAAAACCCACAAACATCATTTCTCTCTATATTAGTTATCTATTGCTGTGTAAATTAACAAATTCACCCAAAATTTAACAGCATAAAATAGCAGATAGCTCACAATTTCTGTGGGTAAATAATCTGGGAAAGACTTACCTCTGCGGTTCTGGCTTAGGGTTTCACAAAGCTTCGTTGAAGATGTCTTCTGGGTCTGCATTCATCTGAGGCGTAAGTGGGCCTGATTGATTTGATTGATAGCTCTTTCATGTGACAGTGCTTTGGAGGCCTCAGTTTTTTGCCTCATGGGCCTCTCTGTAGTGCTGCTCACAGTAAAGCAGGTGGCTTCGGCTTCCCCAGAATAAGACATAGACAGACTAAGAACGAAGCCACCTTTTTTTTTTTTTTAAATGACCTAGTCTTGGAAGTGCTATCGCATCACTTTTGAACTTTTTTTAAAAATTTTATTTATTTATTTGAAAGAGAGAGCATGAGCAGGCAGAGGGGCAGAGAGAGAAGCAGACTCCTCGCTGAGCAGGGAGCCAAACATAGGGCTCAATCCCAGGACCCTGAAATCATGACCTGAGCCGAAGGCAGATGATTAACTGACTGAGCCACCAGGCACCCTGAAATACTCTTTTGGTCACAGACCAACCCTAGTACGAATTGGGAGGGGCCTACCCAAGGTACAAATACCAGGAATTTGGGGATCATTGAGGGGCCATCTGGGAGGTTGGTTACCATACTCTTCCAAGAGGTAATGCTTTATGAAAATGAGAAGTGCCTTTTTCTTGTAAAAAAAATTTACCTAAAAATATGAGTTTGTTGTTTGAAAACATTAAGATCCTTACAGCTAGATTTGACACAAGTGCTGTTTCTTCTGTTTGCTAGGTATTATTGCAATGTCTGTGACTGTGTGGTGAAGGACTCTATCAACTTCCTGGATCACATTAATGGAAAGAAACGTAAGGCTTGGAGGTAGTTTGTGACTAGGGCTGGGACTGGGTTTTGGAGGTGCGGTAGGGGAAAGAGTGGTTTCAGTTGGATTTTTTTTTAATGCCTGAGAATTTCTCCAGTGGTTTTAGTACAGTGCATGCTTTACTTCATTATCTAATGTTTCTGGAGGCCCTGAGGTGAGACACTGTTCTAGGCTCTCGACAAGCCCAGACCATGGTCTTCTCCAAGGCCTAGCTGTCCTGACTGGTGTGCATTTGCTCAGTAAGGGCAGTTGAAAGCCATTTGCATCTTGCTATCTGTAGCTGCTGCTTCTGGGAACAAGTAAAGCCAAGGGAATTTTTTTTCCAGTCATAATTATTTTTCCTGTGTATTTTATGAAAAGGTTTTTTTTTTTTTTTTTTTTTTTTTAAATGTCAAAGACTTTTTGAGGGGCTGAGGATATTGTAATGCCATTACCGTTTTCACTGTTGATCCCACCCAGATCAGCGAAATCTGGGCATGTCTATGCGTGTGGAACGTTCCACCTTGGATCAGGTGAAGAAACGTTTTGAAGTCAACAAGAAGAAGATGGAAGAGAAACAGAAAGATTATGATTTTGAGGAAAGAATGAAAGAGCTCAGAGAAGAGGTAAGGCTCTGGTATCTTTCCATCTTTTGTCCCCCAGCTTTGAATTTTATGTTACGAATCATGAGGAGGCTCTCTTCATTCCACTCCCACCCCCAGAGGATAGTTGTATCCTGAATTTCACTATACTGGGGGAAACATTTATTGCCTTTGTTTGGGACTCTTGTGATCTGAAGGATATGGCTGTAAACCTATCCTTTTTTTTCCGGGACTGTCTGGGCCTACTTATTTTTTTTTACTACAGGAGGGATTAAATACACCTAGTCCCCAAGAGGCACATGGAACCAGGCTGACAGGGTCAGAATTCTGTTTCCTTCACTTACTGGCTATGACTTTTGGGCAAGTTATATAACCTCTCCATGCCTCAGTTTTCCCATTAGAGAGAGATCTTAGTTTATAATCTACATAAAGCATTTAGATCAATTACTGGCATGTACTGTGTGCCCCAGGATAATAGTTGCTGTTACGTGGTTTTGCTTCCATAACCTTTTTAAGAACTAGGGATGAGTTGGAATGTAGGACTGAGAAGTGCTCTTCACAGGCTAAAACTGCTCTTTGTTGTTCTTTAAATCTTTACTGTGGCTTTTCCTCTGCTCTTGAAATTTTACTTGTCTTTAACTATTTTCTCCTAAAGATAGAAAGGAATCTTGACACTCACTTGTCTCTTTCAACGTTTGGCTCAGGAGTCTGAACTGATTCTGAGTGATTTCCCCCCTAGGAGGAAAAGGCCAAAGCCTACAAGAAAGAGAAACAGAAGGAGAAGAAAAGGAGGGCTGAGGAGGACTTGACATTTGAGGAGGATGATGAGATGGCAGCTGTGATGGGCTTCTCTGGCTTTGGTTCCACCAAGAAGAGTTACTGAGGCTTTCTGTGCTTGGCTCTTTGCTAACTTTGTGTGTGGGAGGGGTCATTTTTTGGGGGGTACTTGGGAAAGTCCTTAAGAGCCGCAGAGGGGAGGGCTAGAGGGTGGGTGTCTATGGTTTCCCTCTACTTTGGGAGAGTGAACAGGATGCAGAGGTAATGCTGTGGCATATTCCTTTAGCCTCAGTATATCACTGGAGTCACAGGACCTCTGCCCGAGTTCCCAATAAAGAAAAACCTCTTCTGAGGCTGCTTTCCCAAAACTCCCCCTGTATCTTTCCCTCCTCATCTGTCCAATTTCTTCTCTGAGCATCCTACATTTATCCTGTGTTTTCCCTTTGTTTTAATTTTGACTCTTGCTTAGCCTGCAGCAGAAGGGTTCTCTGGGTCCCCAGTGTCCAGTTGATAGCACATTTTGACCAGCCCTCTTCCCCTCCCCCCCAACCTCCCTGTGATTCTCTACCACCTGTGCATGCATGTGTATTTCTGCCTGGGTCAGTGGTATGTGCGGGTGTGTGTGCATGAATTTGTCACATAGAGAGAGCCTGAGCTAGAACCTCAGAGCATTGCTGCCTTGGGGCCTGATGTTCTTGGCTCTCTCAGTGCATGTAACAGGAAATTAAATGGGACGAGTGTTTGGTGTGGTTTTTGTCTGGTGAGTTTTTTAACCTTTGTTTTTCATATGTAGACTGTCAGCTTTTCCTGTTTGTTTCATTTTATTGAGGATTACTCTTTTTCTTTTTTTCTTCCTTGTGAGCAGGCTCTTGGAAGAACCTGTTTGATGCAAAAAAGAAAAAGGAAAAAAAAAACTTCATATGGGAGCCCTTGGGTCTCAGAGACTGTTCAACATGTATAATAAATGGCATTGACTGGGCCTATTCACATTTGGTGGGAACATTCCATATTCTTCCCTGTGTATTGTTTTTGTTCTTCCTACACTGAGTATTACATATAGAGCTTTTCTTTCTTCTCCCTTCATTTGAGCCCTGTCACTTTTTTTTTTCTAGGTTCCTTCAGCACGAGTTGTAATTTCCTCTGATGGGATGTGTGTCCGAAGGAGTCTGAACCCAACTTTTCCTATAATTTTAGCCTCCTTTGGTCTGTTTTTGGAACAGAGTTTAGGGTTGAACTTAGTGTTTTCCTTACTATCTGCAGTTAGACTAGGCACAGGGTTACTAAGTTTTGGCACTGTTGACATTTTAGGCTGGTTAATTCTTTGTTGTGGAGGCTCTTGTGCATTTCAGGATGTTTAGTAGTATCCCTAGCCTCTACTCACTAGATGCTGGTAGCACCTCCTCTCCGAGTTTGACAAATAAGGACGTGTCTCCAGGAGTTGGTGAAATCTCTCTCCGCAGTGCCATTGAGAAGCATTGATAAGCTGCCTTCCCTATATTTGTCTAACTTGAGAATTGGATGGCACAGACTGCTTAACTAAAGAAAAAGCTTTGATATTCCCTGGATTGGGTACTGTGCCAGATCCCAGGGATACAGAGGAAAAAAATCTGTCTCTTGAACAAACCAATAATAGTTACACAAACTCCCGACTAGGTGAATTCTATAATAACCTTTGGTGGTTCTGTATCCTGAAAAGTGGGCTCTGTGTGAGTTAACAAGGCTGCCAGCATATGGCTTATTTACATTCTCTGCCTCATTAGCCCCTTGAAGCATCTGAACCACCTGTGGGTCCCTTAAAGTACTATACTCTTTCCTTTGGACTTTTGTACATAACTCCCTTGCTGCCAGGCATAACTTTTGCCTAATTTATTTCTGATGCTCAGTCTTGCCATTGGGATCACTGTGAATGTGTCTGTCTACTGGCTCAGAGTTTCACATACAGTATTTGTTGGCCAATTGCAGGCAGATTAGTGGGTTATTTCCTTGACAGGATTATGTGCTCTACAGGTCCTTCAAGTAACGCTCTACTCTAGTAGCCTGGGCCCTTCTGCTCCTTTCAAGGCAGGCTGGAGAAAGTGTCGGCTGAGTTCCTTCCATTTTTTAGTACTCTTCAGGAAACTACCTAATTCAGCTTGTCTTCAAATGATTTCCCATTCTCTTTGGTACAGTGGAATCTTACCTTTGGTCACCTATAATAAAAAGCAATTCTGAATTTTAGGTTTTCTATCTAAATTCTCTTGGGACTGGCAAGTGGTTTGGGTCTCTAAGGGGTTGGTCTAGGTCATGGGTATGTGAAGGGACTCAAGCTGGTGACTTGGAAAGGGGGAAGAAGGAGATGGGGTGGAAATTTAGGACCCCAGAGCAATCCCAGATAACTCAGAAATCTCTGAAAGAGAAATTTCTTGGTTGTTTGTGGTCTTTCTAAAATCCGTGGAAATTTTGCATTCTGGTTGAGGAATATGCCTGTGACTGGCCTACATGTGTTCATTTATTCAGTGATTGCTGAGATGCTGAACATGTTCTAGGCCCTGGTATTCTTTTTTTGGGGTAAGGCATCAGGGTTCCAGCTCTCATGGAATTTACATTCTGGTGGAATTGCCTTTAAAGTACCTGGGGAACAAAAGATCGGATGGCTTCAGATGATTCTGTGGCTTCAGGCACCTCCAGGGACACTTTTATCTCTCTCATAACCCCCTCCAAAAATTTAAATGTGAAGATTCTTTAGTCCCGCAATTCTACTCTAAAAACATACCTGTGTATGTGTACATATACTTACAAGGATGTTTACTGCAGCTTTGTTTATATAACAGTGAAACATTTAAAATAAAACTGGTACATTTATTCTTGAATATAATGCAGCCATTACTATATACGTGAAGTAGATCTGTGTACTAACAAGAAAGATCACCAAGACATACTGTTAAGTAAAAAAAAGCACAAAAACAATACCAGACAAACTGATTTCCACACCCCTCCCAACCTCCTTCATAAAACTATATTTTACATACAGTGAAATATATAGATTGAGAAAAAGGACTGGAAAGACACACTGAAATTATAACTTGTTACCTGGAAGGAATTATGGGAAGAAAAAGGTTAGCTGTTAAACTGTACATAAAAGGGAAAGATAACTGTGTGGGGTTATTTATTTTTGGTCGTTTTTAAAAACTATTTTACTTTTGGAGCCAAAACCCAGGAATGAATGTATGTGGGGGTTAAAATAATGTTTAGAATAGTAATAGAAGTAATACCATGGAACACCTATTATGACACCTCAGAGAAGAGCTGTGGGGTTTATCTGGTTTAGCTTCAAAGTTCCCAAGGTAAGACCTGGAATACAGCTTGTACCTTGTAAAGATTCCACTCTTCTGACTCAGGCACTGTGAAAATCAATTTGATCAGAGTGACTACCTGTGGTTGTCCGATGAGTGTAGAGGCTGGAGGTGGGTGTCCAGAGACTTGTGGACCAGATGACTGCTGTGTGGTAATAGAGAATAAGCTTGGAAGGCAACTGCTTGGGAGAGCTTGCTAGGGGGTAAACGAGATGTGAGTCCCCACAGCAGTATGTCCTCAGATGGTCACTGAGTGTCTGGATAGGCAGTTTTTTATTTTTAATTTATTTTTAAGATTTTTTATTTATTTACAGAGAGAGAGACAGTGAGAGAGGGAACACAAGCAGGGGGAGTGGGAGAGGGAGAAGCAGGCTTCCCGCAGAGCAGGGAACCCGGTTCAGGGCTTGATCCCAGGACCCTGGGATCATGACCTGAGCCGAAGGCAGACGCTTAACGACAGCCACTCAGGCGCCCCAGGGCAGTTTTTTAGACGCTAGAGTGTACTGGATCATTCCTGTTCTTGTTAACTTACTGTATCACACTCTTTCTCGCCATTCAAGATAGTATAATCTAGAGGTTGTGGCCAGATTGGCCCTAGTTGAGCGGTTCCTTCAAGTAAAGCACCTTCTAACCACTGGAGTGCTTCAGGACCTTCTAGCCCTTTTGCCACTCTGCTGGCTCTCTTCATTTTCCCAATAATCAGCCTTGGATAGAGTGTTTAAGACTCCTCCCCTGTCCAGAGCACCAGAGCGACTGGGTTTCCAGTGGATGTTCAGCTCCCTTTACACCAGGAATCAGGCTTCTTGGGGGAAATGGTTGATGCTAGGACTGGGGAAGGAAATAAAGAGGTGAACCTGGAGCATCTTGTAGTGCCAGAAAGTAAGGAAGTGCTAACAAACAAAAAACAACCCAAAACAAATAAACTTTTAAAATTACTTTTGGTGTTTAGTAATGTTTGTCCTTTTGTTCCAATGGTTATGGTTACACTTAGATCTTTTCTTGTGTCCTCAAATTTCTTTTCCTCATTCAGAATCTATATTTTCATTTGCCATATCTTGACTCTCCTATTACATAGCCACAATTATTTTATTGTTTTCTCTCCCATTTTTTTAGTCGTTTTTAGGAAACAGTTTGCATACTATTTTTTCCACTCTTATCACCACCTTTATTTTAAAGATCTACAACTTAATATATTTAATGCTCCCCATCATAAGGTTTTCTGAATTTCCCCCCAGTTAGTCTTTATTTGGATGAAATTCATTCCTTAGTAAATTCTTCAAGAGAGGTTCCTGAATACTGTATTCTTGAGTTCTTGTATATTTAAAACTGATTTTTATAGCTTTGGTATTTGAAGGACAGGTGGATATAAAATCTTGGTTCACAGTTCTTTTCCTTGAATTTTTAAAAACTTTGCTGCCTTTCTTTGTATGTTGTGAAAATACCAACCTGATTCTTTAATTCGTAAATGATTTCATCTTTTTGCCTGAGGCCTGGATGGTTTTTTTCTTTCAAATCTAATTGATTTTTTTTTTAAAGATTTTATTTATTTATCTGACAGAGCACAAGCCCAGGGAGAGGCAGGCAGAGGGAGAAGCAGGCTCCCCGCTGAGCAGGGAGCCTGATGTGGGACTCTGGGATCAGTTAATGATTGGTTAAGTTGGCAGACACTTAACCGACTGATTCACCCAGGCGCACTTTAATTGATTTTCTAAGATAAATCTCACAGTTGACCATTCTATATCAATTTTCCCTAAGTTCATGAAAGACCCTTTTGATGGATAGATTTCACATTTTATTTCAAGAAAGTTTTCTTGTATTATAATTTTGAATATTACATCTGTTCCATTATTTTGCTTTTTTTCTTTAGGGACTATATATAATTTGGATTTTTTGGCCTCTGTATCTAGCACTTTGTCTCTGATCCTTCTTCTTGCTTTCTTGATTTTGTTTTTATTTCTTGACTGTTTTAATTCCTTTCTTTAATATCACTTTTTATATTTTAAGTAAAGTCTTTCCCTTGGACATCTTATAAATTAGTCTTTTGAAAAAAAGATGATTTGTCTTTTTCTTCAGTTCCTGATTTTGACTAACTCTTGTCGTATCTTTTTTGTCCACTTTTGTTCTTTTTTTTTTTGATTGACAATATTTTTTCATAACACCAAATGACTGTTTAAGGTTATTCAATTGGGGTTGAAGTGTTGTGTTTGTTTCATAGTTAGGTTTTTAAATATATTCTCATTTTTTGTTGACTTTTTATAATTTAATGCCTGCCATTTTTTATTCATTTTGAGATGCCTTTATTTTCCAGTTTCAGCAATTGCAAGTAAGGCAGGCAGTGTTTCTTACTTCAAGAATATGCTCTTCTATTGGCAGTATGAAGTGAAATAGAAGGCACTTTTTTGGGGGGTGCAGCCCAGGCTGGCATTATTCTATGGGAAACTGAAGGCCATCTCATTTTTTTCCTTGAAAAAATTTTTAATTGTGAAATACACAGATCATAAAATTTACCATTTTAGCCATTTTTAAGTACAGTCAGTGGTATTTATATTCACATTGTTATGCACCATCACAACCACCTATCTCCAGAACTTCTTTCATCTTGTAAAATTGAAACTCTATCCATTAAACACTCCAATGCTCACTCCCAGCCTCTGACAACCATCATTGTTATTATTGGTACATGAATCATCAATGAATTTGACTAATCTAGGTACCTTATATAAGTGGAATCACAGTATTTGTCTTTTTGTGACTGGCTTA